GCTAAAGAGACACTGATATTCCCCTCATGAGCTGGCAGAGAGAGAAAACAGCTAAAAGGAGAGTGAGTATTGGTCTTACATTTGTCAGGTTGCCAAAAACACAAGTCCAAATGGATTCTAAATGCATGTTTGCTCGCTGTGTAAATAGGCAACTGTTAGCTAACCTTAATATATTCATGTGTGGTGTTTACACCTTGTTTTGCTGTCCCTTAAGTGCCCCTAAAGACATTTAGTAACGCTTTAAGAGATTTTCTTATTTTTTAATCCGGCCAAAATATTTCACACATCAGCAGAGAGAGGCAGCATCTAAACACACAGACACAGAACACACTGAATACAAGTTTGCTTAGACTATCTATAAATACTTACTGTAGACTTTAAACAGCTGTGTCACTTACTTTATATAACATTGCAAAATAAAATGAGACATGACAGCAACTCGATACACAACACAATATGTGCACTGTGCTCCTACTGCATGTGACGCTCATACATGCATGCTGTTTCAATATCTGTTCATTCATCTTCATACATGATAAAAGGGTTTTTATTCCTTTGAAAAGTTTTCTAAGTGACTGAGTGGTATTAAGTGTTTTGTAACTTGCATTCTGGACTCTGCTCTGTTGTGTTTGAATACTGAGCTTTACACTAATTGACTGACCCTCATGGACACTTGAGACGAAGGGCAGCAAATTCAGTGTATCTGGGACAGGCTCATTTCTCTACAAACAACAACTTTACCAACAATGCATTTCAAATGACGCTACAGTTCTTCATGTTAGATTCTACGAATGTCTGACCTCTTTGTCTTTTACTGCGTTGTGTTTAAATTTGACGGATTTATTTAGCGACCAGGTGATGAGCTGTTTCCTTCGAGGCCAGTCCAATATCTCTAAATGAATTATGCGATGTTAATGTTGGATCCTCCCACTGAGGCAAACATGCATGCATTGTGCTCTCATCAAGATAAAGACTATTAGATTAGGTCAGCGTTGAACATGTCATGCAACATGTGCTTTATTGTTTCCTCAACAGGTGTACAAATGGACAGGTGATAACATGTTCTTCATCAAAGGAGATATGGACTCCTTAGCCTTTGGTGGAGGAAGGTGAGTCTATCCCAGCCAACGTAGAGGGAAGGCAGGGGACATTCTGGACAGGTCACCAGTCTATCACAGGGCTACACTTAGAGACAGACAATCAAACACACTCACATTCACACCTTCAGACGATTTACAATCACCAATTAACCTCAACATGTTGCTGGATTATAATATACCTAAACATTTATAATTAAATGATATGACTTAGTAAGTATCTGATCAAAGATGAAGAAAACAGGCTTACATATAGTAAGTGGTTTTTATGAATAATTTCCTAATATGGTCCTTTTAGAATTATGTTAAGATTGTGTATTTTCTTCTTTTCCAGTGGCGAGTTTGGCCTGTGGCTGGACGGAGACCTTTACCACGGCAGGAGTCACTCCTGTAAAACATTTGGGAACCCCATGCTCTCAAAAAAGGAGGATTTCTATGTGCAGGACATAGAGATCTGGGCTTTCGAATAACAAAACAGTGCACCACAGGGAAAAAAAAAAACAAGTCCTGCAAAGGGCAAACCGAGGAGTTCTCCTCCTTTAGAACAATGGCAATGTCCCAAACCTAACTGCACATCACCAGGGCTCCCCAGGCCGGAAGCCAGCTATCGGATGCTTGTCGTGCGTTACTACTGCAGTTATTACGGAGCTTTCTTTTCTTTGTGAAAAATTACCTATGTGTGTATCTTGTTACAGCCTTGTGCAGCGTCTTTGCAGCGTAGGGGGAGTGTGTAAAGAAGCAGTGAAAAGGCAGTAAGATGAGGCTGTGTCAGACGGATGAGGAGAGGGGAGCAGGGCAGGGACCATCGGGCCTTGAAGAGGACCATCGGAGCTCCTCTGTACAGAGAGGTGGTGAAGATGATGGCGGCTGAGGTTTGGGACTGCTGCGAGAAGAGAGAACTGCCCTACTGGTCCAGATTGTGCATCAGAACTTTACAGAACCTCAAGGAGTCCCCCTGCACCCTCTCAGACCCCCCCGAGAACTTTGTTCATTCAGTTGGATGTTACTCACTGTGCTGTCAGCCTTGACGGAGAGAGACCCAGTTAGAGGGAGAGACAGGAGACAAAAGCTGAACACATTCCATTACTCTTGGTGATGGTGGAGTGTCAAAATACAAGTGGTGATTTGTGGTAAACACACACACGTACAAAACACATCAGCAGCAGAATACGATGACACTAAACTCAGAGAAGAGAGAATATTTGCTGTGTGTGTAGTGAGGGTGGGGGGTTAGTCTTTTTACAGTACAGTACAGTTTTGGGTTGTCCTCTGAGGCTTAACTTATAGAGTATTGTGTATTGTAGTCCTCCTGTTGTTCACTGTCATAGCACACCATCTGAAAGCACATAGCTATAATCAGACCACCCATCGTCGTAATGTTCTGTTCAGTGGGTGTACGTGTGAGTCCAGCTAACACCAGCTCCTCTCACAGGATGCTGGCTGTACTGTTTGTAGACAGTAACGTGTTGCAATAGATTTGTGGAATATGCAAATAACTGTCCTGTGACCTCAAATAACCCACAGGTCGTGGCACTTTTGCCTCCGCCTGTCGCTCTTTCAAGAGAGAAACTTGTAAAGCTTTTACGTCTTGATACACAATTGCTTTTCTGGGTATCATTTGAAAAGCCTGAGACGTGGTTAACTGTTTTACATGCATATATGACAATTATATATTGGTATATATGATTATATATGGGTTTATATAATCATATATATTTTGCTGTTGAGTGTGACAGTGATATATTTGTGCTGATATTTCAGCTGTTACTATATAATGTATATTACCCTGTAAATTAATGTTAAAATAGTAGATTTGTTCCTATATATATATATATAAATACATAATGCTATATAAATATATATATATATAAAATAAAGTGTGGATTGGTGGGTTGCTTCTAGCACTTTAATCTGGTGTAAAAGCGTCAAGGCCAGGTTCTTAGATTCTCTTAGCAGTAGCTGTACAGTACTTTTTTTGTTTAGATCATTAAGATGTTAACTGTTAGTAGAAAGCTTGCTGCTACCACTATCAACAGGGGTCTACCCTAATGCTCTGTGTCTAAAAAGGAGGATTACTCAAAGAAAGGAAGGGGGGGTTGAATGTGGTTCTACAGCAGCAGGCCTCGGTTTCTCTCCGCACGCAGCCGTCAGGTGAGTCTGAGCAGGTACAGGTAGGTATGCAGGCAGACTGACCTCTGATAGGCAGGGGATGGCTGGTGAAGGGAAGTGTGTACAGTACGTGACCCTCCCCCTCCCTCATGGAGCTTTCCTCCCCCCCTTTTCTGGTCTTCCACACCAGTATTTGTGTCCTTGTGGAAAGTCACAAAGAATAATATGGATAATTCTTCCAGTTATTTCACCAGAATACAATGTATCAGTCATGTATAAATAACAATAAAGCTGAATTAATTGTTGTAACCTGGGATATATCTGAGTTTGTGATGCTTTCATTTACTTACTTCTTGATATTGAGCTTCTTATTTGCTATATTCTTTGCCGTGGCGATGGACAGTGATCTGGTAAAACTTAGCCAGTAATCAGTGGTTTCTCCTGCACAGAGTAACGACTACCTTGGTTGTTATCAGTAGTTGTTATGTGGAGTCTGGAATTTGACACTGCTGTAATTATACTTCAGCAGTAACTAAAGAAATAACTGACACATGCACAAATACATCATAATTGTGAAAGTGCCCATGATCATAGTTCACCATCGTGGGTGTGAACTCTTTATAACAAATAAGACTTCTGTCACAAGCAAGATGTATGTTTTTAGGTTGTTATTTGTCTCTGCAAGTACTTGTAGATTCTCGGGGCCCTGCTGTGACCACAGACTGAAAGCTGTATTTATTGTTTCATGACTTTAAAACCTACAACTTCCCAAGTGTTAGTGTTCTTACATTCGTGGACATAAGTGCTGTAGTAGAAGATTCAAATACCGAATTTACTGATAAAATCTCAACAAGTTTTACTGTAAATGTTCCTGAGATGAATTTAAAGCACAGCAGAGTGATTGAATCCAGTCTATTGGGAGGTGAAGCGGTAACAGCAGGATGATCAGTCCTCCCATTGTGAGTGAGTGCCATCTACTGGTCATATTTGTTAGTATTTTAACTCCCTTTACTCACTATAAATTTAATAAAGAAGATACAGGTAATGGTAGATTACTGAGTACTTTTACTTAAGGTTGTACTTAATTACAATTTTCAGGTACTTGTGCTGTGAGTATTCCCATTTTCTGCTACTTTAGGCTTCCACTTGACTACATTATAGAGCTAGATATTGTACTTTCTATTCCACATGTATTTGACTGCACAACTTACCATTTACTTTTTAGATGATAATTTTATACAATTAATGATCTAACAACCCTGTTGAATACAAAACATTGTGAAAGTTGTTTACCATCTTTTCAATTTCCATCTTTTTCTTAGAAAAAGTATGTATAGTTGTGAACACGTCAGATATCCATGAAAAATAGTGATTTTTCACTCTGAGCTTCTCACAAAATTTAATTTTGTTCAAATGATCAAATTCTGTTTTCCCATGTTATATCATCTGACGAGCCATCAGACTGATCTGGATATAAAATTGCATCTGAAGTAGTTCAAACTAGCTCCACCTCCAATTGTAACATGCTGCTGATACACTGATTCTTCTCTATTAATCCAATTATTTCATCATCATCTTGATCAGTGTTACTTTAATGTTTTGTGTTTAGCTGCTAATACTTGTGTACCTGTACTTACACATTTTAAATGTAGGACTTTTACTTCTAATTAATTATTACACTGCTGTATTGATACTTTCGCTTTTACTTCTTCAGTCTCTGAAAATTGTCATGTTGATATTTTTAAAAAATGATCTAAAGATGAGTTGCTGTACAGATGTAGATGAACTGACACATAGATCTTGTCACTGTTTATTTAAACAGCTCATTGAGCCCAACGCAGGCACACACAGACAAACAGCAGTTCAGGAATCTGTGGTGATCGAACACTTCAGGATCGTTTGTCAGCTTCAGACTAAAAAACACCTGAGCTTCATCCAGTGGCTTGGTCCTGATGTGAGCAACGATCTTTCTATGTCTGGTCCCCATCAAACCCAAATGCCCCCCCAGGCAGCCATGCTGCGTCAGGTCTTCACTGACATCCAGCAGGACTAAAATAGTCCAGGGTTCATCCTCGGGTTTTGGGATTACAGTCTTGATACATGTAGCTGCACAGTCAGTTTGTTTCAGACTGAGCATAGAAATCAAAATGCATTACAAGAAGTTCTTTATCACAATATAGTGTAGAGCAACAATATTGGGACACAGATCAGGGTCACTAGGGGACAAGAAGTGTTTGACTTAATCAAATAAAGTAATGGAGATCTTTTGCTCAGCAAAAACGGGCTCAAAATGCACTGTAACAAAAATGAAGAGTATTTTTGTTTGAAATACCATGAAAAGATATTTTAGGCAGCATGCTGCCTGCATCATCAGTGCTTTAGATTTAAAATTGGACTTTGATCATTAGTACAGAAGCATCATCACATTAAACATAGTCCACATCAGCTAAACATAACAATATACAGCAGAAAAGTGGATTTATCTCAAAATGACTTGGATGAAATTCAGCTGCCATGTTTCACATGGCTGTTCTGTTTGGCAGGAATAACTCCTAAGCTAATAAGTAAATGTACCCTGCAGTCTTGTAGACAGGGCAGACTGTGGGTGAGCACAAACAGTGACACCAAGGCATCATAGAGACATACGTCCACACTGAAAGAAGGCATGAAGTCAGACAATCTTCAGTAAGGCTGGGACATTTTCTAGAAAATGTTCAAAATGCTGGTTGAAAGTTCCTTTTACAGCAAGAAGGCCATTTTGTGAATGTTTTGTGCTTCCTCCTATTAAATCTGTTAAGACTTCACAGAGTTTGGTCTTTGTGTCCGAATGCAGTGTTGTTTAGTAGACCAGGTACTTGAGTTCAGAGTAGATGAGTGGAAGCATGACTGTGCAGGCTCGGTACAGGATGGCTCCGCTCTTTAACAAAGCTCGAGGTTTGGTGCTCCAGGATTCAGACTTGAAGTTGACGTAGATTGCGTACAGTGCAACAGCGAAGAAGTGTCCAATAAGGGTCATTGGTTTGGGTGTCAACCTGAAAATAGATAAAAACGTCAAAATGTTTATTGTCATGTTTAAGCAGGAAATTTAACAAAAGATGGAAAAAGAAAAAAAAAATCTAAAGCCTGAAAAGTTTGCCACTGCTCACCCGACTAGGATGCAGCTAGCACAAAAACAAGCGCTCCTCCTCCTGCTCACCCTTGTAATCCCACTCACCTGTTCACTCCCATTGTTCATTACAAACAAAGACCTTCAGCTCAACACTTCAACCAAAGACACCACTGGTATGATAAATATAATGGATAATGTTGCCTGTGATAGTTCATCTGTCTACATTTTTGCTGTTGGGTTGATGCTGTATGTATGTTTTAATTGTTTGTTTGGGGGTATTGCTGTGCTTTGTTTGGTATATCGGTTTCACTTGGTATTAAGTTAAAGTTAGTCAGTTGGTTAATAGTGTTTCATTTTATTTAAAAGTAATTCAGTAAAAACATCCATCCATCCATCCATTATCTATACACCGCTTAATCCTCACTAGGGTCACGGGGGGAGGCTGTTGCCTATCCCAGCTGACTTAGGGTGAAGGCAGGGGACACCCTGGACAGGTCACCAGTCTATCACAGGGCTACACTTAGAGACAGACAACCAAGCACACTCACATTCACACCTACGGACAATTTAGAATCACCAATTAACCTCAACATGTTTTTGGACTTGTGGGAGGAAGCCGGAGAACCCGGAGAGAACCCACGCTGCACGGGGAGAACATGTAAACTTCACACGCACCGGCGACATTCTTGCTGCGAGGCAACAGTGCTAACCAACTGCACCACCTTGCAGCCCCTAGTAAAAACATTAGTTGATTAAAACTACTAATTATATTAAAGATAAGTTAAAACACAATTTAAAAATGGATTTTGAGTTCAGAATAATTTGTTAAAATATGTTTAATGATGATCATGATTTAATTCATCGTATGATTTCAGTATATTTAAAATATTTGGTAAAATGTAAAATAATCTAACTTTTTTAGTTCATGTTATGCAAAATTTAATTTAAAACAACTCACTGGAAATATTTCACTGGAAAGAACTGGTTAAAAAAGTCATTCATCTCGTCATTATCATAGTCTCATATGTACTTTTTGTCCATTGTAGGTAATCAACCTACTCCTGTACCTGTTCTACTATTGGAATAAATATTGAAAATGGAGTTGAGTTTTCCCAGTGTCCTTTTGTCCAAAGTCAGGCCTTTTCAAGTTGGGGCAGGAGCTGAAGGAACTTTTAAAAACTTGACATTTACTGTCATGGATTTAATCTCATATTTCAAAGAGTAGTTTGACATTTTAGAAATGGAATGAATGCCACCCTCATGTCTGAATGCTAAATATGAAGCCACAGCCAGTAGTTAGCTTAGCACAAAAACTGGAAATGGGAAAACTGCTAGCCCACACTGCTAACTGCTCCCAGCAAAAAACATTAGAGAAAAAAAAGGTAACAATTAAAGTACATTTTTGTTTCACTTTTACGCTATTTCTAGCTTAGCATGACAAGTGGAAGCAATGGCAAACAGCTAAACGGCTCTGTAAGAAGCTAATAAAATCAGCCTGATGGCACCTATAAAGCTAACTAATTAGCATAGACTATACATGTACAAAACCCAACATGTAAAAAAAAGTAGTGTTTTGATTTTGCAGGCATTACGTGCTGGACTATTTCTTGACCAGTGCTTTAACTTGTGCAACCCCAACCCTAACCCTGGACAGAAACAAGCCTTCTCTCCGGGTGTGTTTCCCAAAATGCCAAAACTATTCAACTAATGCAAGACTGCTCTCCATTAAGACATATTTGTAAAATCATTTCTAATCTGTAGTTGTGAAGGACACCATTCAATGCTCACACTGAGAGAAGTCCAATAGGCCCGGCGATGCATTCTCCACCAAGCTTGAAGTACTGGAAGCAGGCCTTCCTTAGCTCATGAAGAGAATCTGGTGAACACGACACATGGACATGATGAGAATGAAAATGAGAAACTATTGCATGATTTGACTTTTGTCCAAATTGTAAACATCAATCATCGTATGTGCCTGTGTTCCATGTGGTGTTAAATGCAGAGGCAAGTAGAGACTCACTGTCAGTGGCTGCAAACAGCTCATACAGGGCCTGGGCCAACACGTTCACCACAAAAGAATGTGATGACTTGCGTTCCCAGTGGAATTTTTTCTTTGCCTATTGAGGAGAAGAAGAAAAAAAAAAGCGGAGTGTAATATTGCACACTAGTCTGCAGTCTCACCTACAGCAGAAGAAATAAAAGGACAAGGCAATGTGATGCAGTAGAGACTCTAAATATAGCTCTTGCTTGCGTTCATACACAACCAGAAAAATCAATGGCGCTTCCTCTGCAGGCACTGTACACAGGCCTCACCTTTTTATTTTATAGATTGGACAATTTTTCAATGGTCATTTGTATGCAGTCAAAGGTGTTCTAATCCTGACAAGCAAATGTCTGGGGGAAAACACTGAATAAGTCAGGGGTGAGGTAGTTCACCTGCAGCATGGCCCTGTCATCGTACAGGTCTGGGATGTTACTGAGCAGACTCCTCCAGATGCGAACGTCGTTGAGAGCAACACTCATCCCTCCTCCCGTCAGAGGATGCCTCATGTTGTAAGCATCGCCCAGGAGAACAACACCTGCAAACGACAGACTGCTGTTTGTCTCCTAAATCACCATTTGTTCTTCATTTATCCTCAGCATTTACCGTCATCTGCCTAACACAGTGAACTGAGGAGGATGACAGCCAGAGGATTAATGTGAGCATTCTTCTGTGCATTGATTTCTACTGTTTTGACAGTAAACACATTATGGGACTGTTAAAGTACACCATCACATCACAAGTGTATTCACTTTCTTGCCTTTATTTAAATTTTTCTGCATTTGACTACAATTCCACATTATCCTTTTAGCGTTTTGTAAATCAAGTAGTCAGAGGAAACTAGACCCATGCATCTCCCCGTGGCTCCATTTTTAGGCTTTAGAAAATCTACCCTTGATGGGAGACTTTAGCCAATCACAGCTCTTTGAGCAGGTAAGAAAGTATAAATAGCACCAACAAAGTCCATAGTGACAGTAATATATGGTGGTGTAACGAGTTACACGCATGAGATTTAATTCCCAGCTGAAGCCACAAATGAATACTGAAGGTTTTTTTTTTAGCTCTACTACCTTTGAATGATTGAAACACTCATCTAATGGAGGGGTTGAAAACAGACAGGGCCTTAAAATTCTTACCTCGATTTCTGCCAAACTCAGCTTTGAGTTGACTAAACTTATTTGGTTGTTACATATTATTTGGTTAATCCCTAAAAATGAAAACAATTTTTGAGTGTTTGCCAGAAAACCTTACAGTGACAGTGATAGTGTACTCCATTTTAACTGGGATGTCAGAATTACCAAGTTCCCAGTTGGAAATTTCAAATGGAAATTACATTTTTGGAAAGTCACAATGTTACAAGCTCTGTCCTCAAAATCCAAGATGGCTGCTCAGGGTGAATGTCCAGTAATGTATTACTAGAGCATTTAACCTGTCGTACTGTCGTAGTATAATATGTATTGTTTATTAGCACTTCTGTCTTATTTGTGTCTCATTAATCAGTTGTACACCCAGTACTTTCCAGCCTCTGTCTGTGGACATGTTGCTACATTGGTTGTATGCAAAAATACAAAATACTGCATGATGCATTGTTTTCAGCTAGTATTGCTAACAATGGCTAACAAAGGTGTTACATCTGAAGTAAGTTGGCATTATTTTTGAGAGCACCAGTAGGTTTAGCTACCTTTGGACAGAGCCAGGCTGTCTGTGTCCCCCTGTTTTCAGTCTCTGTGCTAAGCTAAGCTAACAGTGTAACAGGTTGCAGCGTCATAACTTAGCTTAGCATGCTAACTCAAAAACAGGAAAACATCGAGCCTGACTCCTGTGAAACACAGCCCAAAGTATGTGTGAAAACTTATCACTTTAATCCTAAAAACCTAAAGTGTAAAAATGACAAAACACCTTTAGACAGAGCTAGAGTCAGCTGTTTCCCCCCTTTTTCACTTCCTTGTGCTAATCTATGCTAGCCGGCAGCTAGCTGTAGCCTTATTTCTACCATGCAAAGATGAATTGTATCAGTATTAACATCTTGCTCCCTGCAAGAAAGAGTTTTACCCAACATATTGAACTATTCCATTAAATGTCAGTAGTAGTCAATCAAAAACATGTATTTTTTAATATATCCATAAAATAAAGTTGTATTAAAGTTGAAGAAAACCTTGTCAAGAGCATGCATTTTCTGCTAGTTTTCAATTTAACTTAAAACACTGACTAATTGCAAATTAGATTATGGCCAGGTAAGTTCTATAATTAGTTTCATTATACAGTAATGACAAAAACGAGACCCTACTTTTCCTAGACATGCATCATACTGCACACAAGCCGGAATCGGTTCAATAGATTCTCTTAAGCCACCTCCAACCAGAAATCAGTCAATAACACTTCAGTACCTGGCTTGTTGACAGGGGAGGGAGGGAGGAAGCTGGCAGGCATGGACCTGAGTCGATCGTTCTGCAGCGCCACCATGAAAGGCTCCTTTAAATGCTCTGACGGGAAGAGAGAAAGAGAGAGCGCAGGAGGTCGATCACTCAGCTGGCTGTGTGGATGAAAACCCAAAGGTGCACGCTGGGCACATGCAAAAGAAAAAACCTTTTCTTTTGGTGTCTGAATGTACATTTATCAATGTATCAGTGTGACTGACTCCAGCATTCCAGCTGGACCTCTGTCAAGGTTATTGGAGCGGTTGCTTTGATACTCTGGCTTTGATATTTCAGCTGAATAGCAGAGCGCACCATGAAAGTCAAATCCTTCAACTGCAACTTCCCTGGAGGTGCACACACCAGCACACGCAGCAGTCTGGATGTCTTCACGCCTACTGCCACTTTTGGCATCTTTGCTTCATGATTGTGATCTTTAAATAACGTTGATTTGTCACACTACAGATGTTCCTCCTCAGGCCAAAGGTCATCTTTCATCAAGGAATATTATTACACTAGAATACAACCTTTAAGAGGCACTTTCAACATAAAGTCAGTCCAGTCTGACATTTACCTGGCAGCTGTGGGTATATTTTCTCAGCCATGTACTCGGGCAGGTTGCGAGGCATCTCCCCCCTGACATCCACGAGCACTCTGGTGTGTGAGGAGGAGATCTGGTAGATGAGCACTGGGCTGGGGTTGGCCAGCACCAGCTCAGCATGGTTGGCTTTAAACTGAGGACAGTCCTGGGTAAAAGAGCAGCGATAACAGATTTTAGATTAGTTTACAGGGTGATTTATTGCATTGTAGACAGTCTAATAATGCATGTGTATTAGTTACTTTTCTTGGATGTTTGAAACAGCATATGCTAAGAGTTTGACACTGAGCTTAGGGTGTGTATTTGCTGGCAATATTTGTCTGTCTTGTGTCCTATCCAACTGACAAACATTTGCATATTCATAAATTCTGGATTTTTCCGACAGGGACAAGAAATAGATGTCATTATAAAAATTTCTAACCAGTGAAATGAACTGTGCTGCTCTTCCTACCTTCATAAGGCATCCAACAAAGTGAGAGGAGACACGAGCTTTCCCAGACACCAGACTCTTTCTGAATTTGGAGAAACAGCCGTCAGCCACCACAGTCAGAGCTGCATGGACCTCCTGCAGGACATGCATCATCACAAAGCCACCGTGTTAAATACACTGTTTCTTTCAATGAGAGCATAGAGAGGAGGATCAGAAAGAAGAGTATATAAGTATGAGTTTCCTCCTCTCACCCTGATGTCTCCAGTTTCTTTATCCTTGTATTGGACTCCGGTTACACAGCCGTCCTCTTCCTGCAGACTGGTCACGGTGCCTTCTACGAATGTGACACTGGAGGTCGCAATTTAACAGTTAGAAACATCCTTTCTACATGCAAGAAGAACATAGTAGGAAGTGAAATATATGTCTATTTGACGAGTGGCCTAATGAGTAGATTACATATCTGTGTACACAGGCAACCACATGTAAGCAAACAGTACATTATGAACACAGTCCATTACACGTAACTGCCTGAAAAGCACAACATGTTGGAGCATACACGAAGTGAACCTTGTGTGGTTTTTTAAATTACATTTTTTTTGTTTAAACTAGTCACATACTTTGGTTTTGTAGGACAGATTTTAAGCAATCCCTCTTCTTATAACTCTCATTTTCTCTAAAAAACAATGTTGTTCATAAAGTTGCTTTTGCCTCCTACGGTTCTGCTCACTTTGGTTCTGCCATGGCGGTTCTCCTCAGGCCTGTGATGAATCGACCGTGGTGGAAAGCGCGTCCACACTGGATGCTCTCCTCCTCCTGAGGGTAGGGAACCTCCACCTCTGAGCCACTCTCGATGTCGTGGATCACGTAGCCATTGACCAGATGGGCGTCCAGACCCTCGACTGAACCTGAAGCCAAACACAGAGCAACAGGCTACGTTTACACAGTGCATATTCATTATTTATTCAGTCTGACGATGACATGGAACAGAGACTAAGAGCTGCTGCACTGAGACATTTTTAGTTTACACTTATAGCTGGTGTGTTTGGAAACTAGGTTCTCATTTAGAATTTAAAATAAAGGTTTATTAGCTTAAATAGTGCTTGGTTTGAAAGTTTGAAAGTTTGAACTGACTGGCACATCAACATGTTATTGTTTAAAGGTTAGTTAAAGCCTATGTTTTCATATGTATTCATGCATATGAATGTGTATGTATCACCTAGCATCATAGAAATGTAAGTATTTAATTTACTGTCCCATTTCTTTTTTTGATACCATTTTGCAACTTTTTCTGACTTATAAGAAATGAGATATTGGACTCCAGCTCAGACTGGTGCCTGAGGAAATGCAGACGTCACTAATACTCTCTGGTCATGTTCAAACATTTTTGAAGGATGTATTTCATGTCCTTAAAGATGTTCCTCATGACTCCCCAAAGATCCAAAAGTAATCAGTCCTTCTATGTGAACTTTTGTAGATCTTTGGGGGAAACAGATAGAATGTATTTTCTGCAAATCCTATTAAGGGGCCACCATAAAGTGTATTACAGTTAGGTTTGGATATGAAAAGTCTGGGAGCTGTATGAGACGGCATAAATTACATATTAGATTTAAGGCTTCAGAAATTTAAAGAGCCTGGGCATGGCCTTATTAATGCAATAATATTACTTTAAAATGCTGGAGTGAGGCTATTTTCTGGGTAAATTCTGCATAAATCTGCATGTATTTTTGGAATATAAAGTATCATCTAACAGAAAGATTCTCATTGCATTAGAGGAGACTTTTCAAAAAGCATAGGTTAGAAGTTTTTATAGTAATAAACTGGAGAAACAGTTGTAAGCACAGTGAAATCAACCAACCACATATGATGGATGATTAACAGAGCCACTGGATCCCCTCACAGTAGAAGTGACGCATTGAGGCCTTTATCCTTCTCTTGGTGTCTCACCACACAGTGCACCAATTGACAACAATATGGTGAAGGATGACTCATCTGAACGTATTCCTGTTTTTCACATCTCTGTGGGTTTTACACCACTTAGGACCCAAACGTGTGTCCGTCTTTGTAATGAAGGATTTCTGCACTGCAGGCCTGCTGTAAAACCCCTCTCTGTGTGTGATTGCTGACTGTTCTTGCCAACAGGCTGGTCATGTCCTGACATTCTCAGGCACCTTGCTCTAATTAAAACACGACAGCTGAGCTGAAGCTCCTGCCATCTGTGGCCCAACAGCGAAGCCTCTTTTAAAGTCTTTAGATGTTTTTCCTCTTGCCGTCTTGATACAAGCCCAGAATCAACTGGACCTTCTCAGTTTTTCTACATTACAGACAGGGCATGGCTGAAAGCAGTGCACCTGTGTTTGTCCTCTCATTTCTTCACTTTTCCTTTCATTTGTCACCCCTCTTATATGAAGTGTGCATGTAGACAAACAGAAGTCCCTGGAATATCTGCGTTCAAGTCAAATGTATTTCTCCAAATCATGAAATATTCATGGATGAATAATCTGCAATCAGGTTTAAAAGATTTGATTGACAGCACTGGCACCATTAGAAAACAGCCAAACTGTCACCAGACTGTGAGTCAGATGTTGCTGAGCTCTGATTGGTGCACAGTGCCATCACCTTTCCCAGCTGAGCCCTGCCCACTTCAAACCAGTGGCAGCAGCACAAACAAAACAAAAAACAGAAACCTTTACTGTGAGAACTCTGTTTTCGTGCAGGAACTCACTACTAACAGCAGCAATCTATAGAGGAAAATAACATTTAGAGGGCTTTTAGCATCTGAATTATTCTGCACTTTCCTATGAGGCAGGGCTCCCTCACAGTTTGTACATCAGGACAGAGTATATTTGCAGAGGACTTGCAATAACTGACCTTCCAGTCCCAGGTCTCTGAGCGCTCTGTACCCTCCAGGCTGCAGCAGCTCCCCCACTATCCTGTCGGGCTCCTTTAGGTCCCTCTCCACCACCGTCACCTTCCTCCCATCGCGGGCCAGGACAGCTGCCATGGCTGAGCCCAGGACCCCGGCCCCAACTATCACCACATCTGGCTCTGGGGCCACAGACGAGCTGCAGGCTGAGGCACCGGATGAGGCACTGGACTCTGTTCCCACTCTTCTTCTTGTTCTCTGGAAATAAAGTAGCAGAAAGGCTTATATTCATGTACATTTTTACACTCCATCAAATAATCAAATAAGGATTCTGCAGCAGGTCTTGAATACATAAACATGAAGGTTTAGTGCATTTAAATGAATGAATGAAGCTTTCAGACTCTCTGAAGGCTGTATACATAAAAGAAAAGTTTAAAATATATAATAAATGAGTGGAACTGAATGGAAAACTAATCATATCTTGGCTCTTTTATCTGCCTGTGTCTTCCTTTGTTCATATAATTAGTCTTACAGGAGTCCATATGAAGAGTCTTACCTTTTTACAGCTGCTCTCTGCTTTCTCGCTCCTCTGTGTTGCAGTTGGAGGGATTAGGTGGTTGATAACAGGTAAAAAAGACAAGACGCTCAGCGGCAAATTAAGTACCTGAGAGACTCTGAGCTTCTGGCCATGAAAGTACCTGATATATGAGAGCAGCAGGCCGGCAGTGAGCAGGAAGGCTGCGGCCGTCACCAGGTCTCTCTGAGCCAAACTCAGGACTGTGTCGGATTTTTTGTAAAGGTAAGTGAAGCTTGCTATTCCCAGGAAAGTCCACATCTTTTTGAATTTAAAAAAAAAAAGGCAAACTGGTGGTAAAATTGATAGTAACAAAGAAATTTTCGTCAGGCGGAAAAAAAAGAAATCAAACAAGGAAATAAACTGCAAATAATAATAATTGTGAATAATTTCTGAAGTTTCTCCAGAAAACAGTTAGTCGGCGCTCAGCCAGCGGTTCTCCTGAAACTCATGGTCACCGGTTCGCAGACGGTCGGAGGGATGCTGCTGAATATTTTATGATAATGAGAAAGACGGACAACTTTGCATTCGCAGGCTTCACATCCCGCCTCCTCCGCGGCTCAACAAACCAATCAGGAGCGACGTGCCGGTGAGCAGAGCTCACGCTATACGCTGATTGGACAGTCGCACCGGCACTGGGCCTCCGCCTGGCCGCTGATTGGTCGGCCGTCCGGCAGGCTGGTAGTATGATGTGATGTCAGTAGAAAGGTGCGTGTTTTATTTCTTTAGAGTCCAGAGGCTGAATGAGAGCAGAGATAGTTGATGTCTGACAGGAGAAGTCACTCTGTGGAGCAAACCGGTGCCGCCGTTTGGACCACGTGTCAAAAAACATACAGTCGTCCTCAAATGTATTCATACCTTTCCATTAAAGAAAAGGAAAATTCATTATAATAAATAATATAACAAATAAACAAAAAATTGCTTAAAAAAATAAATAAATAAATAAATAAATAAATAAATATATATATACACATAATGTAGTGAAATAAGACATTGCTTTTGCATTGTGGTTGAAAGGAATAATAATAAAAATAAAAATAAAAAAAACTGTCTGGGACAAATTAGAGCACTTTGCTGATGAGCAGTGGGCCAAAATCAAAATACCTGTCAACAGGTGCAGAAGTCTGATTGAGAGTTACAGAAAACCCTTGATTGCAGTGATTGGCTCAAAGGATTGTTCAACAAAATATTAGTTTACGAGTCCCATCATGCTTGTTTGCTTGTTTTGTTTGTTTCTATTGTTTTGTTTTGTTTTGTTTTGTTTTGGGGAAAAAAATAGGTCTGTTGAACCACAATTCAAAAGCAATGTCATGATTTTCATTAAATTTCTATTTTTTATTGCTTTTGTCAATTTCAACTTATTTCAGTGACAGCAGTTTTTTTCCTTCTTTAATGGGAGGGTATGAATACATTTGAGGACGACTGTAGCTAGAGAGATGGCGAGTAGTCACCAAAGCAAGTAAAGTTATACATACTACAAACAGGTCAATAATTACATTCAACAAGACACAACAATAATATTCTATTTCATATACTGTGTGACTTTTAACACTGACAGTGTTAAGGTGACACGTTTATATTCTTAAGTTTATATTCTGACTAACGTGTCTGAATCACACAGGAGACCTTCACGGTGACCAGAACAGGTGCAGAGTGAGACCTCCTGTCAGTGCCCACTGGTGACTGGTTTGTTTGTTTGGTTTTTGTTTTTAAATTGAAGTCAGTGGATGTCTCTGGATATACACACCTACAATATGTTTATACAATGCATTCACAAATTAAAATTATGAAGTTAAAAAAAGAAAATGCTCAAGTACATACTCACCAACATATACTACCAGATACTAATTAGGGTCC